AAATATGAGAGGATTTAGGAGGAAACTTACTTCGAACGGCGGCAACGGAAAAATGGGAAACGGAGAGAAAGCTCTCGGTCGCCGGCTAGGATGAAGAGGGAAAATTTCGGAAGACTGGCTTTTAAGAGGGATTTTTTGGGGAAATTGATCAATTTGAACTTTAAAAAATTAGGTTTTGCCCAAATCACAGAAAAACTCACTCTTCTGACTTAAATTAATTTTTAATTTATTTGCATATGGTGTGAAATTACAACGAAGCCCCTACACCCATTTTTTTTCCTCTCTCTCCTTTCTTGGGTCCCTCCAGATTTTCGATTTTCTAGAATTACGACCCATTTTCCTCCAGACAACCGGTCTTTTACAAAATTTTGTTGCCATATTTTGTCCACCGTTCGAATGTTTGAGAATTTGATTTCATTGATTTAACGATTAATTCAACTATCTTGATCCTGATTTTATTATAAGTAAAATCATTTATTTTCTTCGATTGATAAATTTTTCGACGGCTGGTCGATGTTTGGGTCAATTTAGTCTTCTAAGAAGTTCGAGGGAAAATTTTGATTTGAGGATTTAGTTTTGTGTTGAGCGTTTGATTTGAGGATTTTGTATGAAATCCGCTCGAGTAATGTTCAATCGCGTCCAAGTTATATTCAATCTCGTTCAAGTTCGTCTAAATCCCACCCGAGTTCATCCAAATTCCACCCAAGTTTGTTCAATCTCGCCCAGGATCTATTTAGTTCACGCTCGAGTTTGTTCAATTGTGGGAGAGCTAGTAGCACCACTGTGAACCTTTGTTGTGAGGGAGTTCGCGAGGGGGCTGCGAGTCATTTATCGCTACTGGATCTTGTTGGTATTGGGTTGTGCGCTGCGATTGGGTACTCGATTGCCAGAGACACTGCAAGATTGCGAGAGAAATAGCGATAGAAGAGAGTAGGTGTTGTTAAGAGATAGATGGAAAAGGAGGGAGACTGGTGTTGTTAAGAGAGATGAAAAGGAACATGAACAGTTTGATAAATCTAAGAGGAAAAAAAATCCGAAAGGGTTACATTTAAATTTAGGGGTATGATGGTAAATTTATATTATTTTATTTTTTAAAAAACAATCACCTGGATTAGAAAGGTGAATTTTCCAATTGTAGGTCATTTGAGCAGAACCTAAACTTTTTAGGTCAAATTGGTCAATTCCTCCATTTTCGTGGGATAATCGCATGAATGATATAAATTTAGAGGCGTCAATGAGATATGACCCCGTCCTATAAAACTTGTTATTCTAACCTTAGTGACGTCATCCTATCGCGACAAATTACTTCCTATGCCCCTCACTTGTTTCTTTTAGTTATAGCGATAACGGCAACGATATTGATAGCATTAGAGAATAACAATAACGGTAACTATAAAATAGTTTATATTAGCAAAATACTTCAAATTTCATTTCATAGTGATAATGATAACGGTAGATATAGCGATAATAATGGTAATGGTAACAATAATAAAGGCAGCGATAACAATAGTTTATATTTATAACATACTTTCAAATATTTTTTTTATTCATTATTTTTCTCTTTCAATTTTTTTTTCCAACTATGATTTCCTTATTTATCCTTTCAAAAGTTTCAACTCTAAATCTTTATTTATCTTTCAATTTTATTTCTATCTCTATATTTATCTCTACTGTTACCTATATCTATACATATATATCTACATTTACATATGTCTATATCTTATTTTTCTCTTTCAAATTTTTTTCCGACTTAGATGTAGAAGGTAGAGATATGGGTCGAGATAAAGGTAGAGTTTTGAGAAAATAAAATCAAATAATAATTACGAAAACGTGAAAGTGTAGCAGAAAATGCTTAACGCAAGTGTATAGGTTAAGTTTTAATAAAAGTGGTAAGTAATTACCGATATCGTCCACTGAATTGGGTTTGTAGTCACTCTAAGTACTACAGATATTAATGTCCAATTTTATCTAGAGAAACAATCAGGAATTTCTCTTGACACATAAAAATCAAATAACAAAGCGAATAAAAAAATTCTAAAGAAAACTATTATGGAGAACGGGTCCTAGGGAAGTGATTTCACTAATTGAACCTACAAGCGAACAAATTACACATGTCAAGATTGAATATGCAATTAATCTATAAGTCGGAGTATTTTAACAACCTCTAAGATAATTCTAAATCTCCCGATCTTAGAACTACCCCAGTCATGCATTCAAGTTCCAATCTAAACCACTTCTCCCGAGCGTAAGATTCAGATTTAGCAACAATTAATCCGTGATCAAGAGATTAAAAGCATTAAGCAAATAAATGCACAAATAGATTACAAACAAATCAATCAAGACAATTGTTAATAAATCCAACTCATAAATCCAACGGATATGTCAATCCCTAGAACAAGAAGATTAGCTACTCATGTTCACGAAAATACAATAAAATCCCACAAAGAATTTCATAATAAATCTAAAAAAAATAAGGGAACGGAGAGAAAATAAAGTCCTACTGTCGAGTGACCGTCCCCGACTCAATCTCCACGATCACAAACCTTTGAAAATCGTCTCATCGCCATTCTTGCTTCAAATCTCGAGCCAATCCTCTCCAAATTCCAAATCTCCAATGTGAGAATCCCCCATAAGTCCCAAAAAATGGCGCACTCATATTTTACTTATGTTGGCGCCATGACGCTGTCTCAAATTTGTGACAGACGTGCAAGTTCGTAGTGCCATGGCGTTACAATACAGCGCTGTCATCGAGGAAAAAGGCCCAACCTTCGTCAGGGCGCCATGGCGCTGTGTACTAGCGCTGTGGCGCTGCTTCTTCGGCATTTTGCTCCCAATTCTGACCTGTAGGCGTCATGGCGCTACATGATGCCGCTGCAGTGCTGATGTGACTTAATTAAGCTCCTCTTCTTCGCTCTAGTTTTCCTCTCAAATGATCGCTTATGCTCCAATTATTTCTAATGGCTTGATCCTATAAAAACATTAGGCACGTAAATAAGTCATAAATGACCGAAAATTGTTAAATAATTTCCACCTGAATATCATGAAATGTGGTGTATAAAGTACACTATCAGAAGATAAGCGAAATTTGGGTATTTCGAGTTGGGAACAAAAATTAACTCAAGAGATTTGAGTTGGAATAAATTAAACTCAATAGAAAAAATAAATAAATAAACAGTAAATAAATAAAAATGAAATAAAATTTACCTAACAAAATTAGCCATTTGGAGAAGAAAAATTTGAAAATTCTAAACTGGTTAAAAGAATTAACTCAATAGATTACAAAACATAAAAACCAAGTAAGAAATACACAAATGATAACATAAGCGGAAGGGTAGAATAACAAGTTTCGAAAAAAGTGGTCATATCTCATCACTTTTTTTCTTTTATATCTTTTTTGGGGGGAGGGGTTAAAAAACACAACTACTTTCATTAAACTAAAAATATGAGAATGAGATTTTGCAATATTGTAAAAATTTGAGAATGGTTAGAGAAATCATACTACTTAGAAAATGAGATTTTTTTTTATTATATTTTTTTAAGCCCTACATTCAATCATTCTCTTTATCTTCGGTCTAGCACAACGTTCTTATACAAGAGATAAGAGCATAAGTTATATGAACGAAATCAAATAGAAAAATGGCCACTTCATGTTTATTATTAAATTGTTATAAATTAAACTTCATCAACAAAATCACTATGACATAAAAGTAAGCTAAAACAACCCATCCAAAAGTGAAAATCATTACTGACTTCTTTCAAAAAAATTACAACCCAACTAAAATTCTTGAGTTGCCTGAGTTATGCAGACTTCCCAATCCTCACATAATTCAATCATACCACGATTTTATGTTGGTCAATCACAATCCACAAAATGTACGGATCGACTAATGCTCAAAATCTGATTATACAGAGTAAATACAAGATAAATAACAAATAAATAACAAAGTTGATAATAAAAAAAGAATGATCGTCATATGTTGGATGCAAAAATATGACCTATCACAGAGTGAGATATGACCAAGCTACTTAGCTCATCTATTGCCAAGCTCCTAAGCTCACCTATGGCTGAGCTACTTAGCTCATCCACCGCCGAACTCCTAAGCTCACCTACCACCGAACTCCTAAGCTCACCTACCACCGAACTCCTAAGCTCACCTACCGCCGAACTACTAAGCTAATCTATCGCCGGGCTACTAAGCTCATCCATAGCCGACCTCAATCATTGCTGACCTATGGGCCGACATCTAACCGTCTTGTCGTAATGGCCATAACGAACGTGTCATTTCACTCCGTCTATAAAAAGAATATTCATTCCTCTTACTCAGATATGCAATTCTTCTCTGAGAATAATCTATTTGAGCGAGCACCTATACTGGCTTGAGCATCGGAGTGTTTACTTTATTCATGCAGGTCCTATCTTGCATGAACTCGTACCTCGTTAGCTCGACTAGTTGCCACGTGGCCAACCTTGGCAGCTCGGCATAATTTTGCATCAACGTCATACAATCATTATCGTAATCACAGGCTAAATATGACAAAATGAAATATGTCAGGCAGGAGAAAGAGAGGCTGTATAAGAACTGTCGCATTACTTTAAACCTTTTAAAACTAGAAACTTTTTTAGGTTATATATGTCATTTACCCCATATGGTTGCGCTCTTTACTTTTTTGCATTTATAAAATTATCGAAATATCTTTTGTTTTTTTGTTTACAGAGACAAACGAGAGTAAAAAATTAGAATGGTATGAGTCCGTTCTTAAAAAATCGGTCAAGAGTCCAAAGGAATTGAAAATGGGTCAAAAATACCAATTTGCCATTATGTGTAGTACAAAAATGTCAAGTATGCAGTTCGTATAATTTTTTGACAAAACCGCTGTTATTTCCATCATCGTTTACGGGGAAGTTTGGAAGCTTCGCTGTTATCCTTGGCCAGGTATCAATCTCTTTCTCGAACGACGAAGCTATCGACTATCTAGGATGAGGAATGGATTCGCTTGAATGGATCGAAAGTAGTAGACAGCAGGTATGTTCTCCCGTAAGAATGAAAAGGAAAATTAGATCCAAGAGATATGAATTCGTTGGCTGGGGATCAAGACCACTTATCGAATTTCTTGCATCAATAGGAAAGGATATCAGCGAGAAGATTTCTCGACACGACGTTACCTCCATTATAAACGAGTATGTCAATATTAATAATCTTCTTCATCCCTCTAGAAAGAAAAGAATCATCTGCGATGATAGGCTCCTTTCCATTTTCGGAAGGAAAACAATTGGCCGTATTAAAATCCATGACATGCTAGAACCACACTTTGCCGAGAATCAAGATGAATCAGATGATGACTTTTCATGCAGCTCGGACGAGACTGAGAATCTTTCAAATACCTTCAAACGGGATAATGGCATAACCCCTGGAAGAAAGCTCAATCAGAAGACGAGAGTGCTGGTGAACCCAAATAGCTATTTTGCTGCCATAGTTCCTGGCAATATTAATCTTGTCTACTTGAGAAAGAGTTTAGTAGAGGATCTGCTTAAAGATCCTGGAACCTTTGAAAGCAAGTTGATTGGTAGCTTTGTCAGGATTAAATCTGACCCCCACGACTATCTTCAGAAAAATACTCATCAGCTCGTGCAGGTTATAGGTAACTACACTAACTTTTTTATTCATGAACATGGGAAATGTGTTCTGGAATAATTTCTATGTACAGATATAAACTTCGATATAAAGGGAAATGTGTTAATTTTATGTACAGTCCTCTCATGGAGATATATGCAAATTGGTCGCTATGAAGGCAATTGTATAGGAAAGATTGTTGCTAGAATTAATTAGGTAATTGATCAATACATACCACTTTGGATGTGCTCTGTGCATTTACTTTTTTCTAGTTGTTCTTAAAATGAGGAAAAAAGTCTTGCTACTTTACATCTAATTGTGGAGATCTCTCGGAAATACTTAGTGGGGATTTCGTCTTTGTCATTACCCAGAGTCAATTTTTCAAGCTTAAATCTTGCTAGGAATAGTACTTTACAGCCATGTATTCTCAATTAATGAAACGACAATGAGTCACTTGAAGCTATCTTTGAAGGTGTATTTCTTAAGTTTTTTTTTTCTAGTACAACATGTGGGGTGGGGATCGAACTCACAACCTCTTGATTGGAGATACTAATTACCGCTGAGCTATTCTCGCTTTGGCTGTATTGCTTAAGTTTCTTCAAGGTTCCTCTTCCATGCCTTCTATTTCGTCTATTTCTACAGTGATTTCATGACTTCAAGCTTTCGTGCAGTGTCTAATTTTCATATCCTTTTAGTTAAAGAATTATTCAAAAGATACCAATATCCACAAGTAATTCCCATTTGTTTTGCCTGTAACCATAAATAAGTAATTTATTTCCAATAAAGCAAGGTTCACAAGATTTTTTCACTTTCCTCTGAACATGCATTAGCTCTTTATGACATCTCCAGAGAATGCCTACGAGCACGCTCATTCCTTTGGGGCCTATATAGTTTGCCACATGATTTTTCAAGGCATTGGTAAAAATGTATTCTTTCTCATTTATCCTTGAAAGTGTCTATTTCTGCTTCACAGTCCACTCAAGGTTTTACAAGTTGTTATTATGCTTACCGGCCAACCATGTCATCTCAGATAACTAATTCAATGATCATATTTTTTTGATATCCTTTAGGGGTGAAGAAAATTTCTATATCTGGTGATTTGAGTACAAAATTCATTCTTCATGCTTCCAATGTGATGAAAGATATCAGTATTTGCATGCTTTCAGATGAAAAGTTCTCTGAGGTAACTCCTTTCCCCCCTTTCCCCCAAGTTACATCATTCTTAGGTAATAAATAAACACAAAAGTTGATGCTGAAAAATCTCCTTTATTGTTATTATCATTACTGATCAATTTCCTTGAATGTAAACTAGAGTACGTATAATTATGGAGTGTGAACAAAGTGATAAGGTATCCTTCTCCGTAGAATAAGACCGCAGAAAATTGTTTTGCAGTCTAAAAATGATAGAAAAACTAACTACCAAAATTCACACAATTCTAATCCATAACCATTAAAATAACTCCAAATTATTCCATACCAAAATGGTATCCATATTTTCGTATTCACCTTAATGGAAAAGTCTTCGCCCACTCTCTAATTGTGTGCTATGAAAACCATTTAGAAATTATCTGCCTCTTCTTCAATTGTCTTTCCCAGATTTATCCTGATATAATACTATAGGAATTTCTTAAGTACAGGAGTTCGTTTTAATCTCACGTCTCTGGAGGGCTTGGTAAAAAATGCTCTCTTCTCTCTCCTTTTCTTTCCTCTTTGTTTTCTAGTGGTGGTTCCGGTAAGTTGTGTTCGTGATATTCTGCCTACAGATTCAAGATTAGTTTTATTTTGTTTCACTAATGGAGATTAATAGCTGTAGTATCGATGGTTCTTTTTTCTGAATTTGGGCAGAAAATGAGAGCTTTATGGTAGAAGATGTGGATAGAAAAGTGATTCTGTCATTGAACTCCTCACAGTTCCTTTGGTTTGAAAGAAACATGGCAATGGTAGCTCATGAGCCTTATCATCTTAGGTTTAAGGAACAAATCCGTACTTCGCAAGGAGTATGTAGTATTCAGAAATCTGGTAGTCGGATCGAATGGATTCACTGGCCTCCTACGGGGGGAAGACTTATTATTTCAATTCCGATTGGTTTGGATAGAAAGGGATGGATGGGTTTCTGGTCTATGTTAAAGCTTTTCTCAGTTAGAAATATTGAAAAGCAAAGACAGGAGCTGTTATACCGTCGACAGGTTGCTGATAGTATGAGAGAAATTAAGAAGAAGAGTATTCATGATAACAACGCCATTTCAGAAAGGCTCGTTTGCTGAAGTGGTCAAAGGTCATGCTCTAAATAAGAATCTTAGAGCTACCGAAGAACTAAGAGCAAACAAAGATGAAAATCCTATGTCAAAAAATCAAAGGAATTCTTAAAAACCTAAGGAGGAAAATATTCGTTTTAACAATAAGGCAAAGGGGGGTCGAGACCTTCAAAACTTCTGGGTCAAAAAGGAGAAAGAAGTGATAGAGTTGGATTGGAACAACTTAATGGTGGTTTCAAGATGTTGTTTTCATGACAAGTGGAAGCTTATTTCTCAGGCTTTAAAAGATAAATTTTCCCAAAATTGTGTTATCAATCCGTTTATGGTTGATAAAGGCCTTCTGTGTTTTGAAGATAATAGAATGTTGAAATCCTCGGAGTTATCGGGCAAGTGGAGGAAGATTGGGAGCTATCATTTGAAATTAGAAAAATGGAATCCAAAGCTTCATAGTAGAAAAGAATTCGTTTATGGTCATGGAGGATGGATTACTATAAAAGACCTACCTTTGTATTGTTGGAGCCGTGAATGTTTTGAAGCCATTGGGAGTTACTTTGGAGGATTATGGAGTATATCCTCTAAAACGTTGAATATGATTGATGTTTCTAATGCTCAAATCAAAGTTGAACAGAACGAATGCGGGTTTCTTCTTGCATCAGTGGAAATTAAGGATGCCAAGGTTGGATCTTTCATCATTAGTGTTGTGGAAGGGCGAGTTCCAGATAGAACTTCAAGATCGTCACGATTTGTTCTTGATAATCTTCATGGATTATCCAACAAACCGGATGTGGCAAGAATCAAATCTGTTTTGGAAGATGAAAGGTCAGTCTTAAAGAGTGCTGTTATTTATAAAGAAATAGGGGAGACAAAAGGTTGTAATGAAGATCTCGAAATTCCAGTGGACAGTTTGAAGAGTCCTAGCATTAACGATAACTTTCAAACAGCTGGCGCATGCATTGAACCGAATGGCAACGTGCAGGCTCCTAATATTAATGATGCACGGTCTTCCCAGGGGCCCATTAATTACCAAGAATCTCTTAATTCAATATCTGCCTCTTCAGAAAGACGGAAAGGCAGATTTAAAAGTACCCCTCTCCCCTTGGCTGTACGGAAGTCTAAAGGTTAATTCCCCCCTTGCCTTTTTTCTACTCACGAAGGAACTTCAAAAGGGCAGCTCGTGCTAGATCTATGGAACAATTACAGCCTAATTTATTACCAGCTTTCAATGTGGAAAGAGAAGATTTGAATAAGATTTTTGTTAAAACTTCTAGCCTTTCTCGAGGAGTACTTAATTCTACTAAAGAGGAAATTTCAAAGTCCATTCAAGATTATTCTGATAATGAAGGTGGGTCCGAGATTAGTATCAGTTCCTATGCTTCTTCTCATATTTCTAACACTGAAGGATCTTCTAGTGACATTTTATGTGAGCATTCATACTACAAAGAATTTCAGTCGTTATTCGGAGAAGACCATGATATAGAACAACAAGTTGAAGTTCCTTTTTTTCTTGAAGAGGTTGGCCTTAAAGTTATTCCACTTCCCACGCATCAATGAAGATACTTTCATGGAACACACGAGGGCTGGGAGATCAGAAGAAGAGGTTGAAGATGAAGAATTTTATCAAATCCCATTGTCCTGATGTTATTTTCTTCCAAGAAACAAAACTGCAAGATATTGATAGACAGGACATCAAATCACTTTGGAGTTCCAAGGATATTGGTTGGTCTGCATTAAATTCCTAAGGCAAGTCTGGTGGTCTGCTTATCCTTTCGGATGAAAGCTGAATTAAAGTTGAGGAGGTGTTGGAAGGAAGATTTTCTATCTCCATACGGCTTTCTTTTTCATATTATTGCAATATTTGGTTGACTAATGTTTATGGCCCAACAGATTATCGGGAAAGAAAGAGTTTTTGGACAGAAATTCGCGATACAACGTGCTATTGTGATCCTTTATGGTGTATAGCTGGTGATTTTAATGTTATTCGCTGGTCTTCTGAACGCTCTTCTGGGGGAAGAATTTCAATGCCATCATTGATGAGTTAGAATTGCTGGAAATCCCCCTGTCCAATGGCAAATTTACCTGGTCAAAATCTGGTAATGATTCAAATTCATTCTCTTTTGGACAGATTTTTCATTACAAAAAAATGGGAGGAGACTTTCAACAACTCTCGGGTAGTCAGAGCTGAAAGGGTAACTTCAGATCATTTTCCAGTTATTCTTGAGGCAGGAGATTTTGTCTGGGGTCCTACTCCCTTTCGATTCTTTAATTCATGGCTTAAAAACAAAGAGTGCATCAGCCTTGTAGAGACCAAATTGGCAGCAAATATGTCTTACGGATGGGCGGGTTATGCATTGACAACTAAGTTGAGAAATTTGAAGATTTCTCTTAAAGCATGGAATGCAAAGCTTGAAAAGATGAAAAAGGAAAAGTCAGCTCAAATTATCCATGATATCTCATGTCTTGATTGTAAGGAGGAAAGCACTGGCATCTCGGTAGAAGAAAGAAATCAGAGGATTTCACTTCAAAATGATCTCCTTAATATTTATATTGAGGAAGAAAGGAAGCTGATTCAGAAGTGCAAAGTGCATTGGTTGAAGGAAGGTGATGAGAATACAAAATTCTTCAATAGATATTTAGCCGCTCGTAAGAGGAAGACTTTGATTTATGAGTTAAAGGATGCTAATGGGATTTCTCTACTCAACCAACGTGAGATTGACGATGAAATAATCAGCTTTTTTGGCAGCCTTTATATGAAAAGCCCAAATCCTCAATTCATTGTTAGAGGTCTCAATTGGAGGCCCATCTCTTCAGCACAATGTAGCTAGTTGGAGAGACGCTTTGAAGAGGCCGAAATTTGGGATGCACTAAAATCCCTTGGTAAGAATAAGGCTCATGGACCGGATGGCTACACTACGGAGTTTCTTATTCGTTTTTGGCAATAATTGAAGCCGGATTTTATTCAGATGTTTGATGAGTTTTATAGGAATGGTCATCTCAATTCACCTCTTAAGGAGAATTTATTTGTCTACTGCCCAAGAAAGAGTGACTTCCAGTATCAAAGACTTCAGGCTGATTAGTTTGTCCACTTCCATTTATAAAGTTGTCGTCAAAGTACTAGCTGAACGGCTTAAGATGGTGATTTCTTCTACTGTTTCTTGTAATCAAAGTGCATTTATAGAAGGAAGAAACATCTTAGGTCCAATTCTGATTGCCAATGAAATGGTGGAAGATTATAGGGCCAAAAAGAAGAGTGGGTGGATGTTAAAGCTGGATATTGAAAAAGCTTTTGATAAAGTTGATTGGGACTTTCTCGAAGATGTTATTTTTCAAAAGAACTTTGGCAAGAAATGGGTTAGTTGGATAAATGGATGCATTCGAGGCAATAAGTTCTCTGTTTTTATAAATGGAAGACCTAAAGGGAGAATTATGGCTTCTAGGGAATTGAGGCAAGGAGATCCTCTTTCTCCTTTCCTTTTTCTCCTAGTAAGTGATGTTTTTTGCAGTTTGCTGGACAACATTTATCTTAAAGGCTCTTTTGAAGGCTTTTTCAGTGGGAAGGAGGTTTATACATGTCTCCCATCTCCAGTTTGCTGATGATACATTAATTTTTTGCAAAAATGATGATGCAATGCTATCAACTTTGAGAAAGACTATCATGGCATTTGAATGGCTCTCGGGTTTAGCAGTCAATTGGGATAAATCAGCACTATGTGGTATTAATATTCCTGATGAGAAAGTACAGATTGAAGCCTCGGTTCTACGTTGTAAGGTTGAAAAACTTCCTCTTTTGTATCTAGGCCTTCCATTAGGAGGCAATCCTAAAAGTACTGACTTTTGGCGACCAGTTTTGGAAAAAATTCATAAGAAATTGGATAGATGGAAACGTTTCCAAAATTCCGCATTTCTTTTTCAATCTGATTGCAAACTCCAA